CCCTGGGTCCATGTATATATATATATATATAGATATATATATATATATATCCATAGATAGATATAGAAAGACATATCTTTGTATAGATCTGTCTCGAAGATATATATATATATATGTGTGTGTGTGTGCGTGTGTATCTAAACCTCTCTCGAAAAATGTCTCTATATATCTACATATGCTGATCGCCATGCAGCCATGGAGCGTCCAATAAATGTGGACCCTGATGTATCTCCGGAATGAAAGCAATGCTGCTTAACCCAGGCACGCGTACTGCAGGTACTGCTGATGAGAAAGCTTGTGCCCACTCCACAGCGCATCCAGCCATCTGCCCTGCACTGTGTAGTCCTTGAACGCCTCGTAGGTGCTGGTGGCAACGAAATGGGTTCCTACCTGCACAGATCGCCCGGGTGAATTCCACCCAGCACTCAAGGCATGTCAGCCGAGGAAATGATCTGGTGGTGGGTCCAGACCATTAGATTAGATGTGATGCTGGCGACGAAACAATCTACATATGCCGCTTGCTGTCAATTCCTGTCTCTGCAAACGGCCATTTATCGCGAAGCAAAAAGTTTCTTTCGCGCATCCTTCGCGAACTGCATGTGTATCTTTCGCGCAACCCATGTTGAGCAATAACTCCGCTTATGAAGATTCAATCGGCACAGGCCAAATCACACCAAATTAGCACGGAAAAGTGCTTCATAGCCTTGCAAACATTGTGCTAGCATCACGGAATCCCCTTCGCGAACAGGTTCTTGCTGCTGAGGAACTTTTTTAGCAAGGCTTACTGGGCCACGCCCTTCAAAATGCCCTTTAACTTTACCTAGTCTTTTGCAGCACTTGCGTGCAACTGTCGTGCAAAGACTTGTCTCCGCAGACCACAGCCAGGAGCACGGGGGGCGGCAAAGGAAAAGCAAACACCAGGTGCCTTGGTGTTTGGCTCTTGCAAAGTGTCCCTGTTCGAAGCTTGGCTGCTGCATTTCGCGGTTGTTTCTTGAGACTTCAGAAAGCAACGTTAGGCAGGACCAGCGGCAGGTGCAAGGATGTGCTTGGCCACCATGGTATTTGGCTCTGGCGAAGCGTGACCTTCGGAAGCTGGCTGCTACCTATGAAGGGAAAAGCCAATGTGCGGTCCCAGTCTCCTGCCGGACCCCCGACAGCAGGGAGGCGGTGGTAGCCCTTAACAAGCGGTACTGTAGACAATGAGGATGATGCATTCTAGCCACCGTTCGCGACACTTTCGCGAAGCAAACAGTTTCTGTTTCGCAAACAAACTTTCGCGCGGGGTCCCAGCACAAATGAACTGTGTTTGCAATTGAAACTCGTTATCAGGACCTTCAGATGGATCACCACATATATATGTTTATATGCAGAGATATATTTCGATATATCGATAGTGATAAATCTTGAATCAATGCGTACAAAGAAGAAGGATTGCCTATGCAAGACCAACCACGTAGATAGCGGTCCAATGAGTTCAGTTCATCCAAATCAGGCTCGTGGGTGCCCAGACCAAGGTGGCCTACAAAATGTTTGACTGCAAACACGATCTGCTGCAAAGCTGCCAGGTCTACTGATGATCAACTAGAAGCTACGTCATGCTGCTGCCACACGATCGGATTAGTGACAAAGGTGGCCTACATGAACTGCAACTTTCAACATGAGATAGAATGTCGTTACAAGGTAACCCAACGGAGATGCACCTTTGCAGCCCAAACGTAAAAATGTCCTTGGTCTGCCGCATCTCGCCAGCGTGCGCCCCGTGCCCGACATGGGGAAAGATTGGGCTGAATGCCCTTGAAACGGAGCGCCGTGCATGATTGCCAGTCGACGGGGCGGGCGAATTCCAGGAAGCAATGAATATGTAGACGGCCAGCATCCTCCGAACGCAAACTTGATTCCATCGTGGCACTCCATTTGCCGACCCACTCACACGTTGCAAGCCAAGTAAGGAACTCATCGAAATCCGCCAGCTGCAGCTGCAAGGAATTGTAGGTTACCAACACTGCTCGTGCTCGAAGACGAAAAGGGCGGGCATCACCTGTGAAAAATGTGCAACAATGAAGTGGCTGCGACTAGGACTCATGACTATACCCCTTCTAGTTCAGTCTCTCCCATCTGCATGCAAGGCTGAGGCTTGCCTACTGTCACTGATGCATGTCATGTCCATCCACTGCTCTAGGTCTCTTACCCTCCGGAAAGCACCGTCCCGGATGCAGGGACAGAATGGCAACTACTTGCGGTCTGACCTGGTCCTGGGGCTGCTGCCATATCCACATCCTCTTGGGTCGATGCTGCTGCACCAGCTTCGTCTGCTGCTGCAACGCCCTGCAAAGCTGATTAGAAACAGTGTGAACCAGAAGGCCGTGCAAACCCAGCGAATGGTAGCACCAACCAGGACGGCTGAGCAAGTCGCAGCAGGGTGAGAAATGTGAAAAGTGACCCGAACAATGGGTCGCAGTCTTTAGCACCCGACAAACAGGTGAGGCACCTCAGAGAGGTCAATGATGTCTCGCAGCTTCTGAGTGTCACTCGGAGACAAGGTGCAGTTCTCCAGGCGCTGTCGTTGCGCTGCAAAGTCGGCGCGAGACAATTCACCCCGAAATTTCGGCACCTCGAGCTGGTTGGCTTGCAGCAGTTCCCGCAACGACCCGCCCGCAGCACGCTTCCGTGTCGTGGAGGATCTCATGGCTCGGCCCAAGTGCAATGCGGAAACATCCTGTTTGCATGGCATGTCTTGGGTGCAAGGCTCCAATGCGATGTGCTACGTCAGTTGCTTGCGACACCCCGCTTTGCTGTCAGGTGGCCCATTTCCTTTGGAGAGGGCTTGACACTAGAAACAGCAAGGAACTCACCACCACGTCCTTAAAGCAGAATGCAGGTCACAGGCTTGAGCATGAAAAAAGCACATGGAGCAGATAGTCTGCTAGGATTCCATTGTCACAAACAGCTGGACGTGCATATGGCCCACAGGTCTGGAAAAAGCGTGTCGACCGTTGACACCCAGGAATGCTGCTGATGATTTCCGCTAGAGAAATGTGACTGGTAGAGGCACGTGTCTGAGTAGCAATATCTACAGAGACGGTCTGCCCCAGAAACAAAACCGCTCACGGCCCATGTTTTCACCCGACGTGACTGCAGTTCTCTCCGGCTGCCGCTTCGCACACGTGCGATCCACAGACGCCATGCTGCGACAGCACTGCAAAAAAAAGGAATGGAAGCTGGAAGAAGGGGTGGAAAAGAGGTAGATGTGATGTGGGAACATGGCCGCTGCAAATGATGGAATGGGAAGGATGTGCATGGGGGTAATGTCTTAAAGCTGCTGTTGCTGCTGCGCGCGACAGTACGCAATTACTATAGGCGGGACCGCAGCGGGACCGCGGCGGGACCGCAAAATGTGGGAATTCCCACGATTCCAGGTTGCAGGCGTGACCGGTCCCGCCGTCGGCGGGACCACTTTACCTGTGAATTTATAGGAGCGGGACCGCATACCCCGTTTGGGAATTATAATAATATACCAGGGGGGTCAGGTGATGTTTTGGAGGTGGGGTGTGGGAAGATCTTGGGGAGGTGATGTTTTGGAGGTGGGGTGTGGGAAGATTCTTGGGGAGATATCTTGTCTATCTAGCGTTGTATCCCTGGATGTCTTCTAAATGGGGTCTCTGGACCGCGCATGTCTTCCAAGCGCTTTGTCTTCGACATGGCGCTTGCAAGTCTGCGGTTTCCAGCTTTCACTCCTGCCGCGCTATGCCTTTGGCATTGGGATTTTCAGCCTTGACATGGTCTCATTCCAAGCGCTCTATGTCTTGACCATGGCGCTTGCAAGTCTGCGGTTGCCAGCTTCCCTCCTAGTGTCCATGCCTTTGGCATGGTGCTTTCGAACCTTCACATGGCCGCTCTCACTCCAAGCGCTCTATGTCTTTGGCATGGCGCTTTCCACATAGTGCACGGCTTGACTCTACTCATGCGGGCTTGCCATTGGATGCATGCGACGTGCCAGCAGCCACGTCAAATCACTCACATCCAGCTTTCCTGCTTGTCGTAGAAGACGTCTTCGTTTCCTTTCCTTCAGGCTATGGAGTACATGTCTTTCAACATGGGTTCAGCGTTCACATGTCCCACCTGCACTCACGAAAAGACACCGTATCCATGCATTTACATGCACTCTCCTGGTTCTGTAGTTCTTTGGTGGCTGCTGCTAACTGGCGTTTCAAATTTTTGCGCTCTTCCTTCAGCACAGCAACCCTATCAGCCGCGGCCGGTGGGGCTGCAGCTGCCGCGGCGTTTGCATCATCAGCGGACATGGCACTCAAGGCGGGCGAACAACAGGCTTGCTCCACTCAAACTGCATGCAGTCCTCAAGATGATCCTGTGTTCTCTTTGTGCTTGCCTGGTACCTCCTTTTCACCCCTGTTCACGACCCCAGAAACATGGCTACGAGAATGTGACAAAATGGTCATGCACCGATGTACCCTGATAGTATATATATAATGTATGTGTATATATATATATATATATATATGTATATATATATATGTATATGTATATATATATATGTATTATATATGTATATTACCCCCTGATTATTTAACATAGCTATGGAAAATCACAATCTTTAAAAGGTAATCATTAATCCACAATTTTCATCATCAATGGCCTATTTGTCTCGCGCCTTGTTGCCCATTTCATCCACACCTCGAGACATCGGCATAGGAATGTACCCTCTGGTAATTTCTTACATAGCTATTGAACATTTGCCCATGGAAAATATGGAAATAGTTGATTTATCTATTAAGAATGGTGATTTTCCATAGCTAAGTTAGTTTACCAGAGGGTAAGTGATTTAAGCAGCAATCATAGATATCAAAGGGATTCAAGATGATTTAAGCATCAAGGGCCTGATTCAACATGATTTAATCACTGAAAGTCCCAATTCTTCTTGGCAAAAAATGCAAAAAAATATTGGTCGGTGAGAATTTAAGCACTAATCTCCAAAAACCAGGTTACTCTCTTGAAAATGGTGAGAACAAAAAAATCCTGGTGAGAACCAAAAAAAATCCTGGTGAAACGCCCAGTTGTGTTGCAGAAAATCTCAGGATTCCTGTCGTGCGTTGAATCCCCATGTGTTTTTTCCAGTCATGGACAACCAGGATGCAATGATTCATCTGCTTCATCATCTTATCCCACATCCCCCAGCCTAAGCGAGCTTGCTGCTCAGGAGTGAACACCTGCAGCAAGCTGGACCACTTGACAAGGGATATGTATGATATGTCTGTAGTGAATGGGAGTTATAGGATGTTAGGGCGGCCTGATAATTGCGGGGTACCATCTTGGGTGTTCCTTCTGGTTTTCTCTCAAATTTTGGTAAAACCCAAAGTCCCATGGTTAAGAAAATAATTATCCCTATTATTCAAATGGCCATAACTTGGGATATACGGCAAAGATCACTTTTTGCCTGGGGGATCCTGGGGGTATCTTCCATGGGGTGGAAGAGAGGGTATCCGGGTATCCTCCATGTTACCTTTTCGGGGATGTAACCCCCCCATCACATGGAACCCCCAGAAGTCAAGTTACTGAAGCATCAAATGCCCCCAAGTGGGACCCCCACGCCTTGGCTGTCCAGCTGCCCATGTTCTTGGTCCCCGCGGGCGCTTCGATCTGCCCCGTCAACCATGGCGGGGGCAGCACCATCGCGGCGAACCCAGAAGCGTGGGACGAAAACACTGCAGATGGATGAAGCAATGGAAAAATTGGGCAATTGGGCTGGAAAAAAATGCAAAAAAACATTGAACAGACACTGTATAACATGGTATAACTTTGGGATTTGTTTTGCTTCATAAGGGGGATATGAGGACCCCTACAACATCCTACAAGAAAAAAACAGTCAGTTCTTCGGAAGGAAAACATGAATGAAATGACTGAACATACTAGAATGATCCATGGGTCACTGAACCATGAATGATTGAAGAAAACATGAGCCACCAATCAAACCATCAACCATCAATAATGGAAGTAGTAACCAACAATCATGATACATTTGGTTAATAGGTGTCCCTGTTGTTGGTTACCCTGCTGCAATGAATAATAAACAGTAGTTGTATTTTTTTGACTCATCTGTGTGTGTGTCTGAAAACCAGTAAAAACACCCTTTTCGGAGGAAGAAACATGATAAACCAAAGATTCGTAATTCGGGCCCCTATTTCTGGAAGGACTAATTGTTTGTTCCACTCATCCGGAAAAGACATGAGTGATCAGGTTCGAACAATTTGTTCGTCAATCCATATGGATCATCGATAAAATATGAACATTTGAACTTTGAAAGTTGAAAATTCCATGAGGCTCGAAACATGTGACCTGTCACTCAAAGCAGTTGTTTTCAAAACCGTCTCGGCATAACTTGCAACCGCGAGTGTGAAACTGTAAATTAAGTTGCCTGTCGTTCGCAGGCAGGGAGCTAAGCATTGCCTCTGGCGACCGTTCGCCGGCCCAAATCAGATTTAATCAGATGGCAACACCTCTATGCAAACCTCTACACATTTGGTCTCTTTACACAATGCCGCCTTCAGGTCCCAAACGAAAGGGTCCCGCCCGCCCTTGGGTAAGGGGCAACAACTCTTCTCCGCGAAGCCATGCCGCACCACTTCCCTGGCTTTTTGTTTGCGGCTACCACTTCCAACTGTCACCAGCATGGAGAGGTCGGCTTCAAACGAACCCAAGCATTTGAGTTCGATGTTCCCTTTACCCTTGGCTTTCTTAAAGCCCGCACCGTGCTTGCCGCCTGTCTGTGTAGCCAACAGCATGATGCGAAAGGGACTCTCAGTGGAGCTCCCCGGGAGACGCAATCGGAACTCTGGGCTGATGAGTTTTTCAGCGTGCGATTCCAGTTTTTGTCCATCCACGCACCATCGAATCCGTTCACTGCCACTCGCCGTGCTCTCCTGATCCAAGGCACCCGGCCTTGGAGCGAAACAATGCCCAGGTCGTTTCAGGACATCTGGGGTGGCCGAAGGGGAAAGATAGTCGAATATTATCTTTTTTGTATATAGAAGTATATACATGTGTATGTATGTGTATATATATATGTATATATATATATTGTATGTATATGAATATTAGTGTGTATATATATATGTATATTAATGATAGTGTGTATATATATATATGTAGATATATAGTATCATGTTATATACATAACGATATATATATATAGATACATATACAGTGTTATCCTGTCGTGTTTCAGTCTTGCAAAGCTTCCAACAGCCTCCAGGCCCCTGGGCCCCCTGGCATCAAAGGACTTTCCTGATGCCTCGTCTAGCCGTGGCTGCCATAGTGTGGGAAACCCTGGCTGCCATAAACCTACCATGACTGGGGATGGTTGAAAAAAAAACAAGCCACTAAAAGTGATTTTTAGGGATGGTACCACATCAGGGATTGGGATATTCATGGTGATAGCTGGCAATCCGAGCTGGTAGAATCATCGAACCCAGGAAGCCCATGTTTGATTACTGGCTATGAGTTTCCGTCATGCAGCTTATCCATTGTCATCTTGATCTGGATGGGAACCTTCCAACATCCAGAAAGTACATCAAAATTCGCTTGGCCATGGATGGTTTCAGTCCCACAGGGTACCTCCAGCCATCCCAAAATCAAAACTTTGGTGCCCTGGTAAACCCCAAAATAGCTGCAGTCAATGGAGGTCCATTCCCCCAAAGATGGTATGAAAACGCATTAGATGTTTTCACCCATTTCCACATTGAGGATTCCCAAACTCTGAGGGTTGCAATCCACATTCTAGCAGATTGAATGACCCTCTCACTTTCTTAGAAAGCAAAAAAAAACATAGATGGCTGTCTACTGCGTGAGTGATGATGTGAGTTACCAATGAATAGTGGTTCATATCTTACGGGGACGTGACCCAAAATTGCCTTGTTTTCAGCTTGGGTTTGGTGATTTTATCTTTTCCACCTGGGTCCATTGGATGATCCCCATAGTAAAGGACACAGCAACACTGCCAACACATTCATGTTTCTTGAATCTGCATGGTTCGTTATGTCCTAGGTTGAATCCTGCAAACACTTTATAATCCCATGTATAAACCCCTCTTTGAATCATCCACATTGATTTCTTTAGAAATGTGTTTTTCTGTACTGTACAACCAAATAGTCCGGTGTACAAAACACCCTGTTCTACCCATACAATCCATTCAGTCTGAAAATCCCCCAAAAAATACCAATCTTAACAGCCAAATCTTTTTCACGGAGTTCACAGTCCTCCATTTCAAAAAATCGTCAGAATTCACCGTCACTTTTTCACCAGTTTTATTCACAGGTGGTGCCATTCAGATCCCACCACTGCCCAAACCAAGCTGCTCCGTCTTCGCGCTGAGCGCCTCCGTTCCCTGTCCATTGGCTCCACCCTCCCGTCCGGGACGTGGCGACACGGTGCGCCCCAGCAGCCGGGGCGGCTCTGGCTCCTGGCCGGGATTCAATGGGGAAAATGTGGGGAAAAACGTGGGAAAATGTCGAAAAATGTGGGGAACATATCGAAACATATGAGAAAAATATGGGAAAGGCTTGGGTGGTAATTTTGTTGAACAGGAAAATGTTTTTTAATTCGAAAATGTTGGCAAAATATGGGAGCATAACCAGCAAGAATGGGATGATGAGCAATAATAGTTGGGATTTCATTGATTTAGCCATCAAAAATTGCATTTAGACCCCAACGAAGATGGGGGATTTCACTGTATTTAACCATGGTTTTCAATGGAGATTTAACCAACAAAAAAATGAGGTGTAGAAACAACAATAATGGTGATATAATGTGACATATAGCGCATAACTACGTCTAATATAATTGGAAACCTTCTTTAGATGTGCAACCCCCTGAACAAGTGGTTGATAATGTGTTCAGAATGTACAACTGGTTTTTTGGGGGGATGATTATGACCCACCGACGATGTCTGCGATGCACCCCCAATTCATGTTTGCTTACAATAATCCTATCCTACTAAAATTAAAACCACTTACCCCTCCCATGTTTTGGGAAAGGGGCCAGCACTAAACCATGGGCTTCTGGGTGGTATTTTGTACTCAAGGGACGGGATTATCAATCGATAAACATCCTCTTAAAACCCATGGCCCATGACTGATATTCCCATGATATGTTCGCAGGAAAACCAATGGTAGTAGCAATATCTCAATATTCTACTGCTTCACGATGCCAGTGGATAGTGACGATTTTATGAGTGGGCCCTAAACATGTGATCCTGGTGGTAAATAGCATGGTGCCTTGAGGGATAAGAAAATATACAAACCATTGTACAGTACTATGGTTTACTATATGGTTTACTATATGGTTTACTATATGGTTTACTATATGGTTTACTATATGGTTTACTATATGGTTTACTATATGGTTTACTTTATGGTTTACTGTATGGTTTACTATATGGCTTACTATATGGTTTACTCTGTGGTTTACCATATGGTTTACTACGGTTTACCATGGTTATTTATGGTTTAGTGTATATATATTGGGTGTATATGATTGATAATGGGTTTCATTGGCTGTGTATGTCAAATATCATCCGTATATTGGCGGGCTCGGAAATCGCCAAGTACAAAAATCGCCCCCCAATGGGGGTATTCACCAACACTAATGGCGGTATCGATCAACGAATTTGGTGAAATCAACCAAGAGTAATGGGACTACAACTGGCAAGGCAATTGGATATGATTGGATTGGCTTGCAGGAAGTTATACATGGCTTACAATATGTTATAATCGATTGGATATGAAATATCATACTTTCAACATCTGTTGGAATGGGTCCTTGAAGATATACACATTCTTCAACAACACCCGAAGACAAACAAAAATCAGTTTCTTAACGTGTCTGTATATAGATATATATATATACACAGTATGTATATATATATATATACATACATATATATATACATACATACATATATTGAACAGAGAATTTGGGCTCTTAAATCTGATGAACACTCCTGAGCACTGATCAGCACCTTTTCACTCAGTCAGCTCGAAGGTAGCTGAAAGCACTAAAATGGCTGCAGCACATATACAAACATATATGCTACATGTGACATAGTCTACACTGTACACATATCTGATCACGCCTCCCGAGCCTGTTTAAAAACGGCGCTCCCGTCCAATTATTTGAACTAGGCGAGTTTTGATATGTACAGCTACTCATAGCCACGCTCAAGCCATCTATGCTCTCAGTGTCAGGTGATGCTCACCTTCCAGAAAGTGAAAATTCATATTTCGCAAGGCTTTATTCATTTTCTCTTCTATGACAGGTTTCGTCAAGACGTCGGCAAGCATATCGCCAGTGTCGACCTTCTTCAGCCGAAAATAGCGCTTGGCAACGCGGTCTTGTACCCAATGGTATTGAGTATCCACGTGCTTGGCCTTGCCTAGTCCTCTGCGAGAACCCATTGCTATTCCTGCACTTGCGTCCATGAAAACTTCACTCTCGGGTTGCAAACCCCAGTCTTTGGCGGTTGAAACTTCTCCCAGCAAATTGCTGGCACCGCTCACAAGAGCGTAATACTCACTCTCTCCAGACGAAAGACTGACTACTCCTTGTCCTTTAGAGTAAGTCTTGATACAACAACCTCCGGCCATCAGGACGCCTCCTGACACGCTCTTCCTCGTCTTCACGCAACCAGCGTGGTCAGCATCAGACCACATCACAAATGGACTGAGTTTGCTCTGATGAGGAAAGAATTGTGCCATGCGTGGTCGATACCTTAGGTATCGTGCAACTCGTTTGAGCATAAGCATGTGGCTGGTAGTTGGTCGTTGTAGCCCTTGTGCTAAAGATCTTGTCGCTACTTGCAGATCTGGTCGATCTTGTGCCAAATAAGCTGCTCGCATTGCAACTGATCTGTACTGGGTTGCTTCTTCATCATTGAGAAAAACAGTGGCGTTCTTGAGGTCTTCCACTGAACCCTTGGCAAGTGGTGTCTTGACTTTGGCTCCTCGGGGACCATCTCCGAGTAAATCAATCACCAACTCTGCATGACGTGCATCTGGTTCCCACCAAATTCCATTCTCCTTCCATGTGATAATTCTGTTCAGGACTCTGATGTCCTGGATGGTGTTTGGTGTTCCTGGTGGTCCTAAAATACCACGTTCCACACATTTCCACTTCTTCGACAGCTCTTCATGAAGCCATTTGATGTTGTCAAATGTTCCGGCTGTTGTAAAATCATCTCCATGTACAACAGTTCTGAGGTCTCGGCCTGCATGGTAGTAAATGCATGGATTGCTTTTTCCTTGCTTGAAACCTAAGGCTAACATAACCTTCTGTATTTGCAACTCCCAGTTGAGAGGTGCGTCTCTGGTTCCATACAAAGACTTGAGCAATCTTCCTACCACATCTTCTCCAGGCTTCTTTGCTTCTGCAGGAAGTTCCACATAGATCTCACGCGTCGCATCTGAGTAAAAGTGGGCGCGTTTCACATCCAAAAATCCTAGAAGTCTACGCTTGCGATAGGCTTCCTTGACAGCTTTTCCAGCGTCTGGCAACTGAAACGTGACGGCTATTGTAACTAGCATCTTCAAAGCCGACAAACTGGGCATAGCTGCGAAGAACTCATCAAAACCTGAGCCCTTCTTGACTTCTTGAGCTACTAACCTACTTCTATAAAGTGGATTCTCTTCATCCTGCTTGTTGACATCTACCCATCGTGTTCCAATGGTGCGTACCCCTTTGGGCATCTTGTGTCTGGGAATCTTTTCCCAAACTGGAAAACTTTCGATGATTTCGACCTCATCTTTTCTGGCTTGTTCTACACCTTTGCTGTCTAAAATCTTTCCACTGATATCATCGTAATAATACCATGTAGCTGCTTCATCTTCCAGTTCTGGTGGAAGAGGAATTGTCTCTTCACAAACTGGCTCTTCTTCACCTTCAATGGACTGAAGGTACTTCTCCCGATCTTCCATGATCAGGTTCATAAGACATTGGTCTATGTCATCCATGTCTTCTGGTCTCTCATTCTCAGGTGGCCGTTTGGTGCCCTTAGACGCCTGAGCTGAAGCAGCTCGGCTGTCCTTGGACTTTGACGTTTCGCCTCCTGAGTCTGCAGGTCTTTTCCGACCTTTGGTTGGAGACATTTCCAACCTTTTGTGTGCTCTTTCTTCTTGCTCGCCTCCTGCCCTCTTGGCTGAGGCTGTGCTTGCGCTTGCGCTTTCTGCAGGTGGATCTGCAGCTTGTCCGGTAGCAGGACTCTGCCTCGCGATAGCAGGTCCAGCTGTTGGCAAACTTGGAGCAGATTCCCCTGTGGCTGAGTACCACAGTTCAGTGACGATATCTGCGTCATCAATCAAAGGCGCGTTGATGACTTCATCTCCTAAACTAGGATCCATTGGTTCAGACTTGATAATGTTTCCTGTTTTGAAATCTCTGGTGACTCTCCACCAGACATTATCCCAACTGGGACCTTCTGGCATAGTACCCTTGAGATACCTTGCATTCTTGTCAAGGCGCGCAAACACCTTAAAACCGTGAGGAACTTCTTGTGGTTTCTCACTTGAATACCCATAAAGAATCTTTGTGCCTTCTTCGGACACTTCTTGTTTCTGACCAGTGATTTCAGAATCAACCTTGGCCGTATGTTGGGCTACTCTCAGGTTGCCCTCTTCTGCTTGAAGCAGACGTTCCATCCTTTCTCTGCAGGCTGGAGTGTGATGAACTCCAGTGCCTCTTTTGCCAATTCTAGTGGCATCACAGGCGACACAACCAGCGGTGTAGCCATACTTGTCCAAATCACGTTTGGTGATGTAAAGTCGTCTTGTCGACTTCTTTGGTGGCTCAACTGGCACTGATGGCGCCAGTGGCTGCTGATCTCCCCCAACAATCTGAGGAAGCAAAACATCATCTCTTTTTGATGCTTGAGGATCCCAGGGAACCCCAGTGACTGACATCAAAGTTTCGGCATCATATCTGTCGTCAGCACTCTTGCGTCGAATGCTTTGCACAGTGAAAACACCTGATGCATTTCCCACTATCTTCTCAGTGGTATTGTCTTTGACTCCCAAGAAAACTCCTTGGTGCCATCTTTGTTCAAACTTGTGACCTCTTTTGAGGAATTCAATTGTTTCCCCAAATGGTGGTAATGACACTCTCCACTCACGACCACGGTGTCTAGAGTACGGTGTCTTCCCATCTTTGACTTCCAATGATCTGTGAAACAAATTGTAAGTGGTGCTAGCATGTTCAACCAACCATGTCAAAACTGGGTGGTCGTCTGGCACCTTTCTTCCATAGCTTGTCTCCAAGGCACTTCTGAGTGTCCTGGATTGAGATTCAATAGCTTGAACTGCTCTTTCAATTTCCCCTTTGGATTCTGAGACTCCTTTGGGAACTTTTTCCAAAACCAACTGTTTGTCAAAACCATTCTTGGCTGCCTCAACTACGGAGTTGAGTGCAGGCTCT